CCTTTCCTGGAAAACTCATGAATAATCCACCCCTTGTCTAGCATATAATCAAGAAATAACTTAAGTATCCTTAGGCCAGCATCTCAAGCCACTGCTCTGCCTATGGGTACCCGTTCTTTTATTCCTTTACTTAATAAACTTGTTTTCCACCGGTGGCCCATGCCTGTAATCCCAGCACTTTGGGAGGCCGAGGCAGGTGGATCACCTAGGTCAGGAGTTCAAGACCAGCCTGGCCAACATGGTGAAACCCTGTTTCTACTAGAAATTTAAAAATTTGCCAGGCGCGGTGGCTCACGCCTGTAACCCCAGCACTTTGGGAGGCCGAGGTGGGTGGATCACTTGAGGTCAGGAGTTTGAGACCAGCCTGACCAACATGGAGAAACCCCATCTCTACTAAAAATACAAAATTAGCCAGGCATGGTGGTGCATGCCTGTAATCCCAGTACTTTGGGAGGTCGAGGCAGATCACCTGAGGTCAGGAATTTGAGATTAGCCTGGCCAACATGGAGAAATCCTGTCTCTACTAAAAATACCTAATTAGGTGAAACCGGTGGCCCTGACACATGACCCAGGACCAGCTCACCAGGTCGCTTGGTGGTTCCGTCTGTCTGTTCGTCTGCGGGTGCCATCATGGTGGATGTGGCCAGTCAGGTGCTCCTAAGCTCCTGTCTTACCATCTAAAAAAAAAAAAAAAATGATAATTAGCCAGGCACGGTGGCACATGCCTGTAATCCCAGGACTTTGAGAGACCAAGGCAGGTGGATCACCTGCGGTCAGGAGTTTGAGACCAGCCTGACCAACATGTTGAAACCCTGTCTCTACTGAAAAATACAAAATTAGCCTGGTGTGGTAATTTTGTATTTTAAAATTACAAAATTAGCCTGGCATGGTAATTACAGACACCCACTGGGGAGCTACTCGGGAGGCTGAGGCAAGAGAATCGCCTGAACCCAGGAGGTGGAGGTTGCAGTGACTGGAGGTTGGGCCACTGCACTCAAGCCTGGGCAACAGAGTGAGACCCCCGTCTCAAAAAAAAAAAAAAAAAAAAAAAAAAAAAAAAAGCAAAGTCTCAGGCCCCACTCCAGACCTACTAAATCAGACACTCTGGGACTGGCCACAGCAATCTAAGATTTNAAAAAAAAAAAAAAAAAAAAGATACTTTGAAAAATGTAAGTGACTTTCCAGATGGCAAAATAGTATTTTCATTAGGAGGAACAAGCTGAACAGTAATAGCAAAGGTCAGTAAGTACTGATCACTTCGTCATACCTCTGAGTCTCTGCTTGCATAGCCTATTATTTCTCACAAGCAATCCATGAAGGAGGTTAAGAGAATGGACTTTCAAGCCAGACTGCCTGGGTTCTTATCCAGCATGTGACTTGTTTATGCATCTGTAAAATGGGGATAATCATGGTATTGCTGCAATAGGTTTGTTGTGAGAATAAAGGGAGCTTGTTATCAGCTGTTAGAACACTGGCCATGTTGGCTCTACTAAGCTGTTATCATCATCCCTAAGCGCACCCAGTCAAAAAGTGGCAAAGGGAGTATTTGAACCCAATCAGTGTAACTCTGAAGTGTAAATTTTTTTCTTTTCTTTTTAACCATAGCCTTTAATGTACATGGTTAAAGGCTAAGTTAGGCCAGGTGCAGTGGCTTGAATCTGTAATTCCAGAGATTGGGAGGCTGAAGGAGGGAGGATTGCTTGAGCCCAGGTGTTGGAGACCAGCCTGGGCAACATGGCAAGACGGTGGCCCCATCCTTGCCCCATCCCATCTGAACCCCAACCCACCCCCATCTCTACAAAGGATAGAAAAAATTAGCCGGGTGTGGTGGCATTCACCTGTGTCCCAGCTACTCAGGGACAGCTACTGTGTCCCAGCTAGCTCAGGCTTCCTTGAGCCCAGGATTTAGAAGCTGTAGTGAGCTATGACTGCACCACTGCACTCCAGCCTAGGTGACAGAGTGAGACCTTATCTCAAAAAAAAAAAAAAAAAAAAAAAGCAAAGTCTCAGGCCCCACTCCAGACCTACTAAATCAGACACTCTGGGACTGGCCACAGCAATCTAAGATTTAAGTAGCCTTGTAGGCAATTCTGATAAGTACTGAGGTTTGAAAACCATTGCACTAGAGAATCTGAATGAGGATGGGGCAAAGGAATCTGTATTTTAGCAGTCTTTCCTTAGGCATGTTGTAGGAAACACTGACGTGGTTTTGAAAGTACTTTGCTCGAGGTTTGAAAGCTTGAGCCTAGGAGTTTGATTTTTTTTTTTTTTTAGATGAGGTTTCACTCTGTCACTCAGGCTGAAGTGAAGTGATGTGATCTTGGCTCACTGTGGTCTCCATGTCCTGGGTTAAAGCAGTTCTCCCACCTCAGCCTCCTGAGTAGCTGAGATTACAAGGGTGTGCCACCATGACCAATTGCTTTTTGCATTTTTAGTAGGGACAGGGTTTTACCATGTTAGCCAGGCTGGTCTGGAACTCCTGACCTCAGCTTATTCACCTGCCTCACCCTCCCAAAGTGCTGGGATGACAGGAGTGAGCCACTGAGCCCGGCCTCGATTTTGTTGTTGTTGTTTGTTTTTTGAGACAGAGTCTCGCTTAGTCCCCCAGGCTGGAGTGCAATGGTGTGATCTTGGTTCACTGCAACCTCTGCCTTCTGGGTTCAAGTGATTCTCCTGCTTCAGCCTCCCAATCAGCTGGGATTACAGGCACCTGCCACTACACCCAGCTAATTTTTGTATTTTTAGTAGAGAAGGGGTTTCACAAGGCCAGGTGTGGTGGCTCACGCCTGTAATTTCAACACTTTGGGAGGCTGAGGCAGGTAGATCATGGGGTCAGGAAATCGAGACCATCCTAACCAACATGGTGAAACCCTGTCTCTACTAAAAATACAAAAATTAGCCGGTCATGGTGGTGTGCACCTATAGTCCCAGCTACTCAGGAGGCTGAGGCAGGAGAATCACTTGAACCTAGGAGGTGGAGGTTGCAGTTAGCCGAGATAGCGCCACTGCACTCCAGCCTGGGCGACAGACAGAACGAGACTCTGTCTCAAAAAAAAAAAAAAAAGAGAGAAGGGTGCTTCACCATGTTGGCCAGACTGGTCTCAAACTCCCGACCTCAAGTGATTTGCCTTCCTCAGCCTCCCAGCTATGAGCCACTGAGCTTGGCCAAGCCTAGGAGTTTGGGAACAGCCTGTGCAACACAGGAAGACAGTATCTCTACAAAAATAAAAACAAGGTCGGGCATGGTGGCTCATGTCTGTAATCCCAGCACTTTGGGAGGCTGAGGTGGGAAGATCAC